ACCCAGGCACCTTGTATCTGCTAAGGTCACCAGGGTTCAGCTAGACATTTCCATTTCCTGTGTGAATGTTTATTTATGTCCCCTCTGTTTGCTACTTTTCTTGGTGCCGTGACGCATACTTGAGAAGATGCCATACAGGAAGAAGGGTTTGTTCTGGATGATGGCTTCAGATGGCATAGTCCATCACGGCGGGAAAGGAACGGCGCTAGGAGAGATGGAGCAGCAACTTCACTGCAGTGAGAAAGGGTGGCAGTTATTTGCTTTCACCTCTATGGGCCAGGAAGCAGAGACCATACAGGAAATGGCAGCCTATAAACCACACAGCCTACCCATCTCCAAAGGAGACCATGGGTATTAGATCCCTTGGAGCTGGAGCTACAGGTGGTGCTCAGATGCCCTCCTAGGTGCTGGAAACTACTGCACTCAGGTCCTCTGTAAGAGCCACAAGCGCTCTGAACCACTGAGTCATCTCTTCAGCCCCATTTTATCTATTTTGAGTCAACTTTGTCCCTTTACAGTTTTTTTCTAGCAATGTTTTGATTTGGTTGACATCTTCAACTTTCACGGCCTGAAATCTGTTTGAACACTATATTTTGAGACAATTATAGATTCCCAAATAGTACACGGAAAGTCTTGGTGCATTATTCCTTCTGGCCTTCCCTAAAACAGATATTTGCATAAATACCATGCTAACAAGTACAGCCATCACTTGTTCAATGCACACAGATGATGCAGACACTACCAGATGTGCCTGTGCTCACATGTGTGAGTGTGAATGCACATGTGCCTACTGCCTGTGTGCATGCGTGCATGCACGTGGGGCGGGGCTTTGCATAACTACCACTGCAGTAATCAGAACATCATCTCACTGCCTCCCTGATGCTTCTTGAAGCCACAACCCCCACCTCCCCAGATGACCACATAACCACTGATCTTCTCCTCATCTCTACATTTTCCATCTTCCTTTGGGAAGGAGTGAGGCAGGGTCTCATATAGCCTAGGCTGGCCTTAAACTCCCTCTATAGTTGAGGATAACTTTGAACTGATTCTCCTGCCTTTACCCACAATCTGGAATAATATTCATTACACCTAGCCAACTATTTTGGGAGTTTTTGTTGTTGTTGTTTGTTTGTTGTTGTTGTTGCTGTTGTTTTGTTTTTTGGGACAGGGTTTCTCTGTGTAGCTTTGCAGCCTTTCCTGGAACTTGCTCTATAGACCAGGCTGGCCTTGAACTCACAGAGATCCTCCTGCCTCTGCCTTCTGAGTGCTGGGATTAAGGCGTGTGCCACCACTGTCCAGCCAAATGTTCACTTTTTAAGGTACATTTTCACTTATTACACTTGGTGTTAATATGAACAAAAAAGATGTCTGAAAAAGTCATAGAGAGACATATTATTTTGCTTACTTAAACATACATGTACACTTATGTGCATACATATAAAACAATAATCTTTAAAGAGGAGGTCATGACTTTGGGAAGGAGTGGGTTGGGATATGGAAGGAGCTGGAGATGGAGAAGTGAAAATAATGTAAATAGAGTACTCATGTATGACATTCTCAAAGAAATGTTTAAATAAAAATAGCTGCTATGTATTCACACCTAGAAACCCAGCACTCAGGAGACTGAGGCAGGAGTGTTCCTCTGAGTTTGAGACCAACATGACTATGTACTGGGTCCAAGGAGAGTCTGGGATATAGGGTAAGTCTCTCGCTGAGGGAGAGGTAGTGGGGAGAGAGCGAGAGGAGAGCCTGCCCCTCCATGTGTGAGCATGCATTTGAGCGGATGTGGCTTTTCATTTCTTTGGGACAAATGTGGAGACTGCACTTGGTGGCTGTGTGGCAGCTATGAATTTAGATTCATTCCTAAGAAACTACTCGACCTTCCTCCCAAGTATCGATTTATCCCCTTGTCCTTTCTCAGCATTGTTTTTGATTTTTGTGATCTGCTTTGCCAGACTTTCCATCTTCTCCAAGAAGCTCTCACATCTCCCACTGCCCATTTGATCTCTGCTCAGAACTGTGCTTCCTTCCTTCAGCACAGTCCCTTGGTTTTCAGTTCTACAAACAAAAACAAACATGGAGTCTGATTTGAGTGGGTCCCCTGCTCCTAAGCATGGCATCTCCCCTGGAGTGTGGCAGGCAGACCTAGTGACACTCCACTGGAGAAAACTAATTTCCTTTCTCAGCATACATCAGTCGCTAACAGCGTCTTGGGTAGGGACGGAGCTTTGTGTCCACTTACCCTTCTCAGTACTGGAACATTGTCCGATTTGAACCTGTGTAGATCGTATGTGTGCTGTCACAGTGTCTGGGAGTCCATGTGTGCATCTATCCTGTTGTATCTGGGAGACATTGCTTCCTTGGAGCCATCCACCACCTCTGGATCTTAAAATCTTTCCGTCACCTCTTCTGCATAGATCCCTAGTCTTCAGTGGAGGAGATTAATGACATCCCATTCAGGGCTGAAGACTATGTCATGAGTGATACAGATCTTGACATCTCATTGTTAAACGTCAAGTTTAACTAAGGCCCATTAACAAGCCAAGAGCTGCGTCTCAAAGGGAGCATGGTGAGTTGTCTATAGATAATGATAGGGCTACACTCCAGAATAACAAGGGTCTCCCCTGTGATTACCTACAATGACCTGCCAAAGATGCCAAACAGCATCACTACCTGCCACTGCCACCTTAAATAACCATCAAATCTGCTGGATCATATGATCCAAGCAGCAGAGTAGCTGGGTCCCACTCAAAACTAGCAGCTTTCTGAGTTTATTTGTTGTGTGGACTAAAGCAACACACCCAAGTAAGAGGTTTGCTGCCTCAAAAATACAAAATGCTTTACTAACAAGTCCTGAGTGCCTCTCACTTTCCAGTTCCTTAGTCCTCTTAGCATAATGTCATCAATGTAATGGGTCAGTGTGATACCTTGTATATCAGGTTTCCTGCAAATTAAACTATGACACAGGGCTGGGTGTTAATATGCCCTTAAGGTAAAATTGTAAAGTATACTGCTGGCCTTGCCACCTGAAAGCAAATTGCTTCTGGTGGCCCTTATGAACAGGTTTTCAGGAAAAAAAAAAAAAAAAAGAACTTGCCAGACCAACGGCTGAATGTCAGGTACCAGGAAACGTGTTAATCTACTCAAGTAAGGAAGCTGCATCTGGCATTGCTTCTGTGATTGGAGTCACTACTTACATTGCCATAGCCAACTGCCATTCTCCATGATCCATCTGTCTTTTAAAGCACAGGCTAACAGGGAGAGTTCAAAGGAGATATAGTAGGAACCACCAGCCCTGCATTGTTCCAACTTTTCCTGCTTTATTTATGTATTGCATTACTTTGTTTATGAGTGTTTTGCCTGCAATGTATGTCTGTGCACCACATGCATGCTGCCTGGTGCCCATGTGAAGAGAGCATTAGATGCCCTGGTACTAGAGATACAGACAGTTATGAGCTGCCATGTGGGTGCTAGGAATTGAACAAGGGTCCTCTGGAAAAGCAGCCAGTGCCTTTAACCTCTAAGACATCTCTCTAGCCCCTCTCATTTAAAAAAAAACTGTTAGTATGGGTGTTTTGCCTTCAAGAGCATCCATGAATCACATGCATGTAGTGCCCTTGGGGGCCAGAGGAAGGAGGGCATCAGATCTCCACAAACTGGCATTACCACCAAGTGAGTGCTGTGAACCAAACCTAAGTCCTATGCCAGAGTAGCCAAATGCTCTTAACCACTGAGCCATCTCCCCACCCCACTCTACCCCCAGCATCTTGCAAAGTCTTAATGGTGACATTAATTTCTGTAATAACTCCAGGACATTTTCTTTTTCTGGTTCATGAATTTCCCTGGTAGAGGCAACTAAGGGCTTCCATTTGGCCTTTCGGACCATAATAGCCCTCATTCCACAGGTCTGACAACCAGCGCTGGGGTGCTGCCAATCTCTAAGTATATCTCTCCCACTGGACAGAGTTTGTGAGTCCATTGGACCCACTGTGAGTCAGACTTTGGCAGAAACTCCATCAATCACCTGACCTCCACAGGCCCTAACTTAACTGGATGCCCATGACACTTTGGAGGCGGTCTCCAGAGCCAGTGTCAGTTCAGAGACAGGCCCTTAAAAGACTGGTTATTTCCTTTTCCTAGATGTGAGTTACTCTAATCAAAGCCCATGGGTTTCTTTGGAGAAAGATTGGTTGACTGTAAAACTTTTTGAAGTGTGACACACTCTCCTGAGGGGGACCTGCTTCTCCTTCACTCAAGAGGTTCTGGGTCTGTAAGCTGCCATGTCTGGGCATTTGTTGAGGAACTGAGATTCTTTGTCGCTACAATTCAAAGTAAACTTTTAAAACTGTTTACATTTATTTTATATGTACGGGTGTTCCGCCTGCATGCATGTCTCTACACCACTTGTGTGTTTGGTGCCTGCAGAGGACGACAGTGGACATTGGAACCCCTAGGACTGGAGTCACCACAGATTACTGTAAACTGCCAAGAGGGTGCCAGGAATCGAACCCAAGCCCCCTAGAAAAGCAGTCAGTGCTACGAAATGCTGAGCTGGCTTTCCAGTCCCTCGAGGTAAATGTTTCATTTGCTCTGGAATTTGCTTATACAGATGGAGTAGGTGCTAAATAAGCCCCTCCCCCATCTATTGCTCTTTTGGGAACACAGACCACTAAGCTATCCCAGTTGGACCACAATGGGCACTGCTTGGTGTCTCTGCCGTCCATTAGCATAGCATGTTAGGGGAAAAGAGGGTAGAAATTAACATATGAAAGAAACCAATGGTAGAGGAAGACTGGAAACATCCAACTAGGGGCTGCATCTCAGGATTACACCTGACTAAAGCTCCTGCTCTCAAATGTTCTAAATGTGGAGCCGCGATATAAAAATGTAGTCGCGATATAAATGACCCACAGCAGCTCATGACTGCCCTGGCTGAACGCCATCAGAGCTTCTAGCTTTTCCCAGCTCTCAGTCCACTTCCATTCTTAGAAGGACCATTCTCTTTCCTTTTATTTTCATTTTAAAATTACATTCACTTACTTATTTATGTGTGTGCATGCGTGCATGCTGTACAAGTCTTTAATTCACAAGATGGAACAGCAATGCTTTCTCCCCACTTCCAGAGTACGGTCGAGTCTTTAGCAGTTTTAGGTGGAGATGAATTGGAGAGCCAGCTCCAGACACCATCAAGTCCACTAGAGAAATTCATCCTTAGAATTTTGTCTCTCTAGAACCTGCTACTGGTTGTCACAAACTGGATTAAATGGAGTTCTTTAGAGACAGAATTAATAGAAGAAATATGGATTATAAAGAAGGATTTGTTAGATTGACTTACACAATACTAGAGATGCTGTTTAGTCCACAAAGTTGATCACCTTGGCAATCCCAGTCTGGTGCTGAAGGTCTGGAGGATTCCTGGAGAGTCACTAGTGTTCAGTTCGTGTTGGAAGAAGCTGAAGATGCTTGAGTCTGACATCAGAAGAGGACAGTAGCAGCAGAGACAGACACACGGACTCCAGACCAAGGGAAGGCAAGCAACCAACACTGCTTTTCTTTAGACTTTTTTTGTACTGTGTCACCTGCTGGAAGGTACTCACTCCTGCTGGACTAGACTGCTCTGGAACCACCTGTTAGAAATAAAACCTGGTAGTTCATTTCTAAACGGGCCCTGAGCAACCTTAAATCCAGTTACCAATGAAAAGAAAACACTAGAACCCTGCTGATGCCTGCTAGTCTAGCTAGTCTCTCCTCACAACCCAATATATCCAAACTCTCCTAAGCTGCACATCATCCCGGAGTTTAGAGTAGATGACTTCTAACAGACAAGTCTCCCTGCAAGATGGTGCGTCTGATAAGCATACAAAAAAGAAAAAACAAAGAAAACAACAACAACAACAAAAAAAACCAGGCTCTAAAACACAGAACGAACCCACACAAGGTTTTTGTTGAGAAAAGCCACAGAAGGAAGATAAGACCTAGGTAACATGTAAGCTCCCACTTCCTGGGTATTCATAAAAGGGAGGAGGAAGGACCATTGGTTTAGAAAACGTTCTCTGCATTCAGTCAGTGTGCCTGCCACGCCAGGCTGGCGTCCAACTGTTGAAGAGTTAAGACAAACTGCTGTGTTTCTGCTGCTCTGAGTCTCCAGTACTCCTATCCTGAAGTGAGGATCACGTTCTCCTCACAGAAGTCACACAAGTGTGTCTCCTAAGTGATTCAGATCCTGTCAAATTGACAGTAAAGATTATCTATCACACAGTGGGCTGGAGCAGGAGGAGTGGTCCACAGCCATGTCCAGGCCTGACATGTATGTCTTTGGTCCTGGCTTTTCGCCACCACGGTGACCTAGAGGGTCCCTAACTTGCTGGTTGCAGGTTGTGATGGAGGAAGACACTAAACCACATCAGACAGACACCCACGGTTTAGCACAGTGTGATGGTGGCTTTGATATGTCAGCTTGACTGGTCGGAGGTATTCAGATCAAACCCTGCCTCTGAATGCGCATCCCCGAGGATGCTGCTAGGAACAAGCAGCAAGGACAAACAGTGAGGAGGGTGGCCCAGCATGGGTGGCGCACGCCTTTAATCCCAGCACTTGGGAGGCAGAGGCAGGCACATTTCTGTGAGTTCAAGGCCAGCCTGGTCTATAGAGCTAGTTCCAGGAAGGGCTCCAAAGCTTCAGAGAAACCCTGTATAAATATATATATATATATATATATATATATATATATATATATATTCTTATTACAAACATTTTTCAGTTGTTTTTTTTACAACTGTAGTTTTGTCATTGTTATGAATCTTAATGCAAACATATGACCTGCAGGTGGTCCTAGGATACCCCTGTAAAAAGGGTTTTTTGTTTTTTGTTTTTTTTTAACCACCAAAGGGTCGAGACTCAGTGGGCTGAGAAATTGTTTCAAGTCCTTTGCCAGACTGCTTAGATAATTGTCTTGCTGCATTACAAGAAATGAACATCCAAGTTTCTGTTTAGCATTTGGTGCTGATGGTTCTGATCCTAATTTTTAACCTTTTATTTTAAGTTCAAAGATTAACAATATGAAACATTTTATAAGCACAGATGTCCCACAGCCTTATAAATTTAAGTATTTTAAAAACCTTTTTAAAAATTAAAAACTCTTAAATGTCTTCCTGCAATGTCAAAAATAAAGTACCTTTTTGCTCCCCCCGCCCCCCAAAAAAATAACAGTGAGGTAGATAACCTTCCTAGGCCACTGAGATCCAGAGTAGAAAATATAGGAGAAGTTGATTTGCCTCCTTTTTGCTGCCTCATCACTGGAACTGAGGCATTGGACTTCTCCTGCCCTCAGACAAGATTCACACCACCGGACCTCCTGATTCCTGGGCAACTGTCTATGGACTGAATCACACAATTGAGGTCCCTCGTTTCCAGATGCAGACAAGAAGTGTGGGACGTATGAATCCGATTTTCACTTTAGATGATTGGTAAGTAAATAGGGAGGTAGGAAGGTAGATGATAGAAGATAGATAGATAGATAGATAGATAGATAGATAGATAGATAGATAGATAGACAGACAAACAGGCAGACAGGCAGATAGATAGAGATGACAGGTGGTATTTTAGTTACCTTTCTGTTGCTGTGATAAAATGCCCTGACAAAAGTAACTTTAGAAAGGAAGAATTTATTCTGACTCATAGTTCAAAGTACAATACATAATGGCAGGGAAGTCTAGGCAACAGGAGCCTGAAGGACCTGGCCATGTTGTGTCTCAGAGCAATGACTATCCTTGCTCAGCTCACTTTCTCTTTTTCATACAGTCCCAGATGCCAGCCAAGGGAATGGTGCCATCCACAGTGGGCGGGTCCTCCCATCTCAATTAACTTAATCTAGATAATCCCTCACTAGTGTGTTCAAGGACTTGTTTCCTAGGTGATTCTAGATCCTGTCAACATTACACATCCTGGATGGATGAATGCATGGATGGATGGATAGATGGATGGATGGACGATTAAGGGGTGAATAGAGAAACAGATGGTGGATGGATAGATGGATGGATGGACAGAATGTAGTTATGTATAACTTATTAAATATATATACACATTATCTGGAGAATGCTAACTAATATACATTTTAGTGCCAAGAGCATTTTCTAGAATTGATAGTCTGGTCTATCTAGATTTAAAACCATCAATAACTCTATTATTAGTACTAAGAAGTTAGGAGCTAAGTAACTCTGCATATGAAACTTCTAAAGAGTTCTTGAAAGCAAAGACATCAGTCCTTTGCTCCTAATATTTCTCAACCAGATGACCAAAAAGATGAGCTCAGGGTTTGCATTTCCCAGCAAACATCACACAGATGGTCTACAAGCTCATGTGTTGTGAAGGGCAGCCTTGTCTCCTGCAGATTCAGAGAGGAAATGTGCTGAAAGTCAAATACAGAACCTCATTATAGACTCACTAGCTCACAATGCAAGGTAAATCTACTGTTGAAACGAGGGCATTGACTGGAAAGAATAAATCCTGAAAGCTGGGAAGGGATCATGTGGGAAGACCCTCATAAATCTGAGGACACCAAGACCCCGTGTTCTGATGAACCTCTCTTGCCAGCACATGTTGTTCCCACGGGCAAGAGAGATGGCAGAGAGATGGCTTGGTGGTTGAGAGCACATATTGCCCTTCCAGAGGACCTGAGTTCAACTATTAACACCCATGTCAGATGACTCACAACTCCCTATAACTATAGCTCCAGGGGACCTGACATCTCTGCCCTTTGTGGGTAACCCTTCCACATATGCAGTATATGCTCACACATACACACACAATTAAAATAAAATAATTTTTAAAAATCAAAGCAGTGGCTCCTACTCCATAGATGGGGCCTCCTTGTTCACCTGAAGGAAGTCTGTAATGCCCAAGGCAACAACAAGGACCAGGTGGGACAACACTGGTCCCTTCCAGCACCACCTCTCCTTGTATGTTCTACTTTGCTATTCTATTGCTGTGATAAATACCATGACCAAAAGCAACTTGGGAAAGAAAGGATTTGTTTGGGTAACATTTGCAGGTAATAGCCTATAACTGAGCGAAGTCAGGGCAAGAGTTCAAGGCAGGAACCAGGAGTCAGGAACCATGGAGGCATGCTGCTTATTGGCCTGATCAGTTCATGCTCAGTTGACTTTCTTATGCAGCCCAGGCCCACTAGTCTAGAGATGGTGACATCCACAGTGGACTGGACCCTCCCACATCAATTATAGGTCAAGACAGTCTCTCACAGATACAGTCATAGCCAATCTGACTGAGGCAATTCTTTAACGGAGGTTCCCTTTTTGCTAGGTCTATGTCAAGTTGACAATAAAAACTAACACTAACCAACACAATTGTTCCCAGACTCACAAGTAAAGGTGTGTGCCCGTGCAGAACAGTGTGTGACCCACAAGGATAACCACTACACTTTAGAAGAATTGAGTTCTCCATTTTATAAGACAAGAAACTTAGTGAAAAGGAAATCATTTGATCTTGTGTGGTAATAGATATCAAATGAGATAGCAAGATAGGACAGGGTCAAACATAAAGTTGGATCATGACAGATGTATCAGTATGGGGGCACTGGACACAGATCTGTGTCTAATGATGCAGCTCCAGGAATCACGAGGATTAAAGCCAGGCCCGGTGGCGTGTTCCTTTAATCCCATTACTGGGGAGACAGAGGCAGGCAGATCTCTGAATTTAAGGCCATCCTGATTTACAAACCAAGATCAGTCAGAACTGTATAGTGAACCCTATCTCAAAAACAAAACAAAACAAAGGCAGTTAGTTGTTAATTGGCTAGTTAGTTAGTTAGTTAGTTAGTAAGTCAGACTGATTTTTGTATGTGGGGATTACATGGTGGTCCACAGTGAAGGAGTCAGAAATAGGAGACTTTAGATGTTTTATGTAGAGGGGTGAATGAAGGACATAGGAAATTGAGTATTCTAGGTTAGAGTCAACTTGTTAAACTCGTTTGCCCACACTGGAAACATTCAAAAGGTTGACCTTCACCATGACTATGAGAATTAGACTTGGGGCAAGGGGGAAGGGGCAGTATCTTTCCACTGTTCTGTGACTGCTCATCCCTAAAGACTACCTTACATTGAAACCAAAGCTAGTCAATTGGAAAACTCAAATTCAGTGACAGTCATTGGATCTCAGGGTGGCATGGGCCATGTGGGGGTCCTCAGTGGGCATAAGCGCAGTGACTGAAGTTACTATAATGGAGTGCAGAGGCAAAGCCACAGTCTGAGAAGTCTGGTTAGTGAAGACCTGTGGTGCTGGCTGGATTGATCATGAAGATCCTTCAGGGAAACAGACAGAATGTCTGCTAACTTCTTGTTTGATCTTTCTATGGAAAACTTCCAGGATCTGTGAGCAAAAGTGCAACCTGAGTCTTAAAAACAAAAGGTCACAGATTCTAGCAATCCCCAGACAAGAGCCAGTTTATGGATCTGAGCTTCTGCATGAAGGAGAGTCTACAGGAGAAATCCTGCCACAACACCCATAAGGCTTCTTGTGGCTCTTTCCTTCCCCCATGCAGACTCAAGGTCCTTTCTCAGGGAGACTGCCCTGGAGAAGAGGAAATGAGCAGCGTGTTCAGGGCCTCCTCAGA